CTAAGGGTGTAGAGTTCCATGAGGGTTTTTTTTTTTTAATTTTATTGAGAGATAATGGATATACATGCATATATTTAAAGTATAAAATGTGCTAAGATTGACATATGTTTACACTGGTGCAGCTGTCACCACAATTAAGATATGGCATATCCATCACCCCCAAAGATTTCCTCATGCCCCCTGCTAATTCCTCTCTCCTTTTTCTACCCCACCCCAACTCCAGGCAACCACTGATCTGCTTTCAGACAATGTAGACTGGTTTGCATTTTCTCGAATATTTTAGAACTGAAATAATACAATACACACTTCTTTTTGTTCTGCTTCTTTAACTCCATGTAATTATTTTGAGATTCATTCACGTTGTCAGGTATTATCAATAGTTCACTCCTTTTTATTGATGAGTAGTACTCTATTATGTGGATGTATCACACTTTACTTATCATTCACCTGTTGACAGACATTTGGATTGTTGGCAGTTAGGGACTTTGCAGATGAAGTTGCTGTGAACATTTATGTCCAAGTCTTTTCTTGAATGTATGATTTCCATGTCCTATCCATGTGCAAACCATCAAGTAAATTTTAGTCTTTCAAATTTAATTTTAATGACTAATGATATTGGACATCTTTTCATGTACTGATTTGTCATTTATATAGCTTCTTTGTGAAGGTTTGTTCAAATTATTTGCCCACTTTATAAATGCATTGTTTTCATACTGAGTTTTTAGAGTTATTTATATACAAAGGGGGATTCCCCCTCCCCCCCAAAATGGAATTATCTTTTGAAGGGTGGGCACCTTGTGGTATAGGCTTCCCCCACTAGGTGAGTGTTCTAGAAACCCATCATCATCAGTGTATCAGCTAGCATAGTTGTGAGAGGCTGTATTTGGCTTCAGGAAAGTTTTCTGTGGCAAGCAGGTGACTGGTCCTTCCACAATGCACCTGCCCACACCGCACTGAGTGTTCAGCAGTTTTTGACCAAATACAACTATAGAGCCCCACACTCTCAATTCACCCGATCTCACCCCAAGCAACTTTCTTCTCCCCCACACCCTCGGATGAAAGAAGTCCTCAAAGGGAAACCTTTTACTGATGTGGGAGAGATGAAACAAAAAATGGCAGAAGCACTAAAAGGCATCCAAATTGATGAGTTCAAAAACTGTTTTGAGCTGAGGAAAAAGCATCTTAATAGTTGTACTGTATCAAACAGGTATATGAAAAGGTACTTTGAAGGTGACTGAAGTTTAAACATGGAAGAACAAATACACGTTTTTAATATATAAATTCTGGTTTTCTGGGGATGCCCTCGTATTCTGGCTGAAAATTCTTTATCAAATATAAGATTTGCAAATATTTTCTCAAGGCCTGTGGCTTGTTTTTTCATTCTCTTAACACTGTCTTCAGAAGCACAAAATATTTCAATTTTCATGAAGTCTAATTTATCCTTTTTTTTTTTTTTTTGGATTCTGCTTTTGATGTTTAGTAACCCAAATTTGTGTAATACAAATTCATAAGGATTCCTCTTCCCTTATACTTTCTCCTAAAAGTTTTATGCATATAGGTTTTACTTTTAACTCTATCATCCATTTTGAGTTAACTTTTGTATATGGTGCAAGATATGAACTAGAGTTTACTTTTTTGCATGTGATATCTAATTTTTTCAGCTCATTGAACAGATTACCCTTTCTCCACAGAACTTTCTTTACACGTTTGTCAAAAATCAGTTTTCCAAATATGTGGAGCTCTGTTTCTAACTCTTTAGATCTGTTCCATGATCTATTTGTCTACATTGATACTAAAACCACATCGTGCCAATTATGGTAGCTTTAAAATAAACCTTGAAATCAGGCAGTATTAGTCCCAAATTTGTTCTTTTTCAAAACTGTTTTATTGTTTGATCTTTGTATTTTTATATTAATTTTAGAACCAGCCTGTCAACGCTACCAAAAAACAAGCCATGATTTTAAGTGGGACTGTGTTGAATCTGTAGATTAATTTTTGGGGAAATAACATCTTTTCAGTACTGAGTCTTCCAATCCATGAGCATGGTATATCTCTTCATTTATTTTGACTTTTAAATTTTCTCCGCATGATATTTTGTTGAACTCTTGTATACATCTTGTCCAATTTATTCCTAAGTATATATTATACTCTGGATACTGTTGTAAATGGCACTGATTTTGTGATTTCAATTTCCAACTGTTCATTATGAATATATGGAAATACACTTGATTTTTGTGTATTGATATTCTAGATTGCAACCTTGCTAAACTCACTTCTTAGTTTTAGTAGCTTTTTGTAGATTTCATTTTTTTTTTACGTAATCTTGTCATCTATGAATGAAGATCATTTAATTTATTTATTTCAGCCTGAATTTCTTTTATTTACTAATTCATTGTTTTATTTCACTCATTAGGACACTCAATACAATGTGAATTGAAATGGTGAAAGTCAACAACCTTGATCACTGGAGAAAATGCATGCTATATCAGTCTTTCATTTTGATTATGACATTAGCTATGGGTTTTTTTGTAGGTATGTTTATCAATTGAGAAAGTTCTCTTCTCTTCCTACTTTGCCAAGTGTTTTTGTTGTTTTTTTTTAAATCACAAATGGGTGTGGAGTTTTGTCAAATGCTGTATTGAAAGTCTATTGAGATGACCATGATTCTTTTTGTTTATTAATATAGTAAATTACATTGATTGACTTTTGAATATTGGAAAAACCTTGCATTCCTAGAAAAAACTGTGCTTGTTCAGATGTATCTGTGTTCTTAAGGGATATTATTCTGTCTATAGTTGTATTTTTTGTACTGTCTTTGGATTTTGGTATTATGATAATGCTGACTTCATAGAATGAGTTGAAAAGTACTTGTTCTTTCTCAATTTTATGAAACAGTTGTGTAGGATTGGTATTATTTCTTTCTTGAATGTTTAAAAGTAGAACCAACAGTAAGATCATCAAAGCTCAAGAAGGTTTTTAACTACAATTCAACTTTTTTAATAGACATGGGGCTATTTGGGTTATCTATTTCTTCTTGAACTGCTGAATTTATCAACATAAGGTTAGTCATAACATTTATTGGCCTTTTAATTTTTGTAAAATCTGGAAGGATGTTATCTCTCATTTCTGATTTGAGCAAGTTGTGTGTTCTTTTTTCCTTGTCATTCTGATTAGAGATTACCACGGGGACAGGGGCAGAGTGGTACATTTGTGAAAGAGGAACTTCTGACCTCAGTCATTTTTCAGTGCTGTCAGTCTTCCAGCCAGATCTCATTTCCATCTGTTGGAAGTCAGCTCAGTATTTTTGCTGAATAATTTCTACCTGTGGCCTGAACACTTCTTTAGTCATGGTGGAAGACAACTGCTAACTTTCCTTCTCTACAACATTTCTATAATGTTGGCACAAAAATCAGAAGTTATACAGTCCAGAGGTATTTTTTTCTTTTTTTTTCTGAGTCGGAGTCTCACTCCATCACCCAGGCTAGTGGCATGATCACATCTACTGTAATCTTGACCTCCTGTGCTCAGGCAATCCTTCTGCCTCAGCCTCCTGAGCAGCTGGAACTACAGGTGCACACCATCATGCCTGGCTAATTTTTTGATTAATTGCAGAGATGATGGTCTTGAACACCTAGTCTTAGGCACTCCTCCCACCTCTGCCTCCCAAAGTTCTGGGATGACAGGCGTGAGCCACCACACTGGGTCCAGAGAGGCAATGTTGTTATAAAGACACCCTGTGTACAGTCCCGATGCTGTGTCTCAGGACCTCCTCATTCTGCCCTGAGCCATTGTGACTCACTCTCTGTCTTAGTGCTCACACTCAGTTAATGTAAACTCAAGACAAAATCTCTCCATGTCACTTTAGGAAAACTAAGTCATGTATTTTTTACTGTGTCAATATTCCCTTATTATTCAATTTTACAAATGCATACATTTGTTTTAAATGCCAGTAGCTGTATTTACAGGAGAAACACTGAGAGGTATTTAACACAGCAACCAAGAGCACATACTCAGGCCGTGCTGCCCATACTTGAATCTCTGACGCTTACCCGTTGCGTAACATTTCTCTCTGTGCCTCAGTTTTCTCATAAGTAAAACAGGAATAATAACAGCACTGCACAGGACTGCAGTGGGAATAAAAGTTCATATGAAATGACTAGAACAGCTCCAGGCAGAGCCGATGTCCTCGATCAGTGTTAACCCTTCTTTCTAACTCTTTTTGATCAGCCAAGAAAAATGAGTCACATTATATAATCTGAAGCTATATATTGACTAGGAGGATACTGAGTGGCACTTCAGGAAATTCTCAAGAACCACACAAGCACTAACAAATTGTAGAGAACCAAGAATGGGCTCATCTGGCGTAAAGGGTCAAGGTTCTGGGCTCCAGCTGTGATGGTGCCCCCACCAACTATGACTCGGGGCATACTTTCTGTGTCTACACCACAAAACAAGTTGTCTCCATAGTCTCTGAAGTGAATTCCAGCCTCTAATAATTTATCATTTCTCAAAGTTCCTTTGTTTTATTCTGTCAGTTGAGTGGTACTATTTATACAAATCTGAACAGAATAAAAACACCAATCAAATAATTTTCCTGACATTAAGAAAATGAAAAATAGCATGGACAGATTGCAAAGTCCACAGTATGAGTATGCACGGCCCTGGGCCCTAAGCACACGTCCCTGTTTGGACACTTTACCAAGCATTCCTCTAAGTGAGGCAGAGAACAGCTGGAGAGCCCCTCTGGATTTTGCGTTATGGCAGTACTGGCATAGAGCCTGTCTTGGGGTTGACCATCTGTGGGACTTGTGGCCTGCGACTCTATTTCTAATCTGGATATTATCATATTAATGATGTAATATCCCATAAATAGCTTTTCAGAAAAGCAAAATTGATGGTACATCACTGGAAATCATGACTTGATTTCTAAGATTACTAGATTTCTGAAAAACCTGTTTCAATGAGATAACTGAAATAAAAACTCATGAAAAATAAGAGAATGATGGTATTTTAAACAATGATTTATTTTAAAGCTTAATGGGCAAAGTATTTAATAAAAAATAGTTTTAAATACATTAAGTCCTAAAGAAAGTCTCTACTTATGATAAATAAACACACATACTTTAGTCATAAAATTACAGTTTTTTGTTTGTTTGTTGGTTGGTTTGGCTTGGTTTAGTTTGGATTTTTAGAGTCATAGTCTTGCTATATTGCTGAGGTTGAACTCAAACTCCTGGGCTCACAAGATCCTCCTGCCTCTGATTCTCAAGTTAGCTGGAATTACAGGTGCACACCACCACACTCAGTTTAAAAGTACAGTTCTAAAGGCAGATTTCAGACCTCTTAGGTTACATGATGTCAGCAGTCAGCTTAAGGACTTAAGAACATACATTTGTAAAAAATAGAGGAACTCCATTAAAAGGTTTTGTAAATATTATAAACAAACATTTACCATGCAATGGGGGGGAAGTCTTATAATCTACTTAGAAATGCTTAAATCCTATATTTTACAAAGTTACTATTATTATAGTTTTCATTGTACATTCTGGTTTAAACTCCCTTCTATATCACTTTCATGAATATCAAGTGCATATTTATGAAATATACATATTACACTACACACACATTCCTTTTCCTCCTGTATAATGCCCCTTCATAAGAACATATTTGGTCTAAGGAACCATCAGAGCATGGCAAAATGCTGCCTTAGTTGTTTAATTAAATGTTGAGTATCCACATGGTCTGGAAATGCTGCTTCAGACTTCTGTGCAGCCTCATAGCTTCTCTGAAGATCTCCAATCTGTAAAGAATACAAGAACAAGACCACAGAAAGAGATCAGAACAAAATGGGTAAGAAGGCCGGGAACAGTGGTTTATGCCTGCAATCCCAGCATCTTGGGAGTCTAAGGCGGGAGGACTCTCAGGAGTTCAAGGCCAGTCTGGGCAGCATAGAGAGATCTCATCTCTACAAAAAATAATAATAATAATAATAAAAATTAGCTGGGTATGGTAGCACGTGCCGAAAGTTCCAGCTATTCGGGAGGCTGAGAAGGAAGGACTGCCTGAACCCAGGAGGTTGAGGCTGCAGTGAGTCAGGATCATACCACTGCACTCCAGCCTGAGTGACAGAGTGAGACTCTGACTTAAAAAAAAAAAAAAAAAAGACATACTATCTGCATGCTGTAGAAACTCAAAGGTTCTTAAAAGCAAATTGCTTAATTTTGGTACTCTGATTTTAGAATTCTCTCACCTAGGTTATAATTCAATCTGAAAAATATGTAATAAAAATAAAATAGGCAATCATCTAATTTCTGCTCCACTATAACTATCTAGTGATGATTTTAGAAACCTGTGTTTTATTTTCTTTCACTAATAGCATTAAAAACATAAAATGACATTTGCCTGCTGAAACAGTCAGCTATAGATGGCTTGGGAGAGCTATTTGCAAAGCATCACAAACAAAAACATATCTTGATTAGGGTAATTATCATTTAGACAGAAAATTCAAGCAAAAAGATTGTATTTCATACATAATAATATGCTCTGAGAGATTTTAAATGATGCTAACACAATAATGTTGGGACAATACCTGATTCTGAAAGTTAAAGGGTGTCTATGATTTTCAACGAACTTTGTATTAAAGTTCAGTCCCAAAGCAAAACACACATACTGTGTGAATGTATCTTTTTGTTGATACAAAATAACTATACATATATTGGGTCCCATGCTATTTTGACACAAGCATACAATGTGTAATGATCAAATCTGAGTAACTATGATACCCATCACCTCAGATACTGTCTTTGTGTTGAGGACATCCCAAGTCTTCTAGCAATTTTGAAATATACAATAAATTGTTGTTAATCATAATCTGAATGTGTATACACTTCTAAAAAGAGAGATTTCTTGATGTGTACACACACACACAAATGTAAATAGTTAAACTCTGGTAGTGTTTTGGTAACATATGCATGTATTAAAAACATAAATTACCCGGGCTCGGTGGCTCAGCCTGTAATCCCGCGCCTTTGGGAGGCTGAGGTGAGTGGATTGCCTGAGCCCGCGGGTTCGAGACCCGCCTGGGCAACGAGACCTCATCTCTACAATAAATCAAAAAATCAGCCGGGCGTGGTAGCACATGCCTGTAATTCTGGCTACTCGGAAGGCTGGGGCGGAAGGATCGCTGGAGCCCAGTAGGTCGAGGCTGCAGTGGCCAGGAGCGGCCACTGCACTCCAGTCTGGGCAACCGAGTGAGACTCCAACTCAAAAAAAAAAAAAAAAAAACCCATAAATTGTCTTTTATACCATTTCTTTTTAGCAAACTATTTTCTCTTATGGAAGTGTAGCCTTTTGCTCAAAGAAATAACTCATTTGTGCTGGGTGCAGTGGCTCATGCCTGTAATCCCAGCACTTTGGGAAGCCGAGGCAAGAGGATTGCCTGAGCCCAGGGGTTCAAGATCAGCCTGGGCAACTTGGTGAGAGCTCATCTCTACAATAAATCAAAAAATTAGCTGGGCATGGTGGTCTACACCTGTAGTTCCAGCTACTTGGGAGGCTGAGATGGAAGGATTGCCTGAGCCCAGCAGGTCAAGGTTGCAGTGGCCACGATCATGCCACTGCACTCCAGCCTGGGCAACAGAGTGAGACTCTTACTCAAAAAAACCAAAAAAGGTCAGCTGTGTGAGGCAGAAGCTGTTGTCTGCTTTTTTTCACTGCTCTATCCTTTGTGCCCTCAACAGGGCCTGGTGTAGAGCACAGGCACCATAAACAAGACATCAGCTGTGTGAAAACCTGAGTGAGGAAGGTAAGGGATTCTACACTGTGGGGGTGTTGGGAGACTTCAAGGTGTGTAAAGCACCTAGAATAGTGGCTGATACAAGGCACAAAAATTACAACTTACAACTGACTACTCATTTTATTTTCAAAACAGAAATGAGAGTGTAGGTGGCTTCGATTCATGCTATGAAAAGCAACATTTTTATAAAGTCTCATGAGTTGTACTCTTATTACTATCACAAACATTTTTAGTCATTTCATTATTCTCAAAACAAACTCACTTTCCATGTTAAAGAAAGGATTCCAAGTAAAAGCTAGTTATTAGATGTCTTTTGTTTGTTTTCTTCCAATTACTGAAAATGGTGGCCAGGCCTATCATCCCTGTACTTTGAGAGGCCAAGGTGGGAGGATCGCTTGAGCTCAGGAGCTCATGACCAGCCTTAGCAGCATAGTGAGACTCTCTATATGAAAATTTTTAAAAATTAGCCAAGCTGGGCTCAGTGGCTCAGCCTGTAATCCCGTGCCTTTGGGAGGCTGAGGTGAGTGGATTGCCTGAGCCCACGGGTTTGAGACCTGCCTGGGCAGCAAGACCTCATCTCTACAATAAATCAAAAAATCAGCCGGGTGTGGTAGTGCGCGCCTGTAGTTCCAGCTACTTGAAAGGCTGAGGCGGAAGGATCACCGGAGCCCAGCAGGTCGAGGCTGCGGTGGCACTGCACTCCAGTCTGGGCGACAGAGTGAGACTCCAACTCATATATATATAAAATTAGCCAGGTGTAGTGGCACACTCCTGTAGTCCCAGCTACTTGAGAGGCTGAGACAGGAGGATTGCCTGAGCCCAGGAGGTCGAGGCTGTGGTGAGCTGTGTTTGTGCCACTGTATTTCACCCTGAGCAACAGAGTGAGACCCCGACTCAAAAAAAATAGCACATGGTTCCTTCAACTTTTGCAAACCGATGGACTTGCAAGACAGGATTAACAGATGCATTTCCCCATATTGTTCATGACTAAAATAGCTTTCACTTATATCCCTAATTTTACAGCAATAGTACTAGAGACTTGGTGGTAATAGGGTCTACACATAATATAGGATTTCCTTGCTGTAAAAGACAAATAGCTCAATACTTCTCAAACCAGGAGTTACTTGACGAGTTATTTCTTCAATGACTAAATGATATATTTTAAAATATAAGGCACCCCCCTCGGATCCCCTCCCACTGTGGGAGCTTTTATGTCCTCTCAATAAATCCTGCTTTAAAAAAAAATAAAAAGAATTAAAAAGAAAATATAGAATAGGCCCAAAGTGGTGACTCATGCCTGTAATCCCAGCACTTTGGGAGGCCAAGGCAGGAGGATCACTTGAGGCCAAGAGTTCAAGGCTGCAGGGAACTATGATTGTGCCACTAAACTTCAGCCTTGGAAAGAGAGGGAGACCTTGTCTCTAAATAAAATAAAAATAAAATAATTCACGGCCAGGCACAGTGGCTCATGCCTGTAAGTTCAGCAGTTTGGGAGGCTGAGGTGGGAAAATTGCTTAAGCCCAGGAGTCTGGCCTAGGCAAATAGTGAAACCTTGTCTCTACTAACAATACAACAACAAAAACAAAAATTTAGCTGGGCTTGATGGTACATGCCTGTAGTCCCAGCTACTTGGGAGGCTGAGGCAGAAGGATCACCTGAGCCCAAGAGGTTGAGGCTGTGGTGAACTGGGATTATGCCACTGCAATCCAGCCTGGGTAACAGAGTAAGACTCTGACTCAAATAATAATAATAATAACTATTATTATTATTCTATAATATTTAGTCAATATCCAGTGATATATAGTTTATTAAACTGGCCCCTAAAGTGAAGATGTATGTGAAAGTAATAATTAAGAGTTTTAAAAAATCATTCCTTCAAGAAGGTAAGGTTAGGATTTCCTTATCTATTTGTAATTTATTTTTAAACCAAGAAAGAAAAATAACAGATGAGACTGAATGAATGAAGAAAATACCTTATCAGAGACGGTTGCAAAATTGAAATGTGGCTCATACATGTGAGGGGCTAGGGATGATGCCGTCTGCAGCAGCGCCCTTGCCTGCGGGAAACCAAAGAGAAATGCCAGAGGCAGATGAGCATATATCAGCATACTTAGGATGTTTTGGAAAGAATTCTTCACCTCAGACAGGACCTTAATAAACACCATCGTGTGATAAACACATTCGACATTCCTCATGAAATAAAATGACCTACTGAAATACAATTAACTATGGATATCTTGTAAAAATTACGTTAATAATAAATGTTTCTTTCCGAAAGAACGAGAAATCGACCTTCCATATGATCCAGCAATCCCCCTATTGGGAGTATACACGAAGGAACTCAAGTCATTCTACCAAAAAGATACCTACACATGCATGTTATTGCAGCTCTAGTCACAATAGCAAAAACCTGGCACCAACCATGCTGCCCATCGAAGCTAGACTGGATAAAAAAAATGTGATACATATACACAATGGAATATTATGCAGCCATAAAGAAGAACAAACATACGGACTTTGCAGCAACTTGGATAGATTTAGAGTCTATCATACTCAGTGATCTATCACAGAAACAAAGAACAGAGTACCATATGTTCTCACTCATAAGTGGACCTTGAACAATTATCATAATACTATAAGAAAGGGATTGGCAGTAATGGGAAACTGCCGGGGGGTGGGATTGGCAATTGAGGGAAACTGCCAGGGGAGGGAGGGGCACACCTCATCAACAGGGGTACCTGCATAATGAACATTTGTATACCTAACCCTGAATTGTACCCCATATCTTTAAAATAAAGAAAAAATAAATAATAATAAAAAATGTTTCCAAACACAGAGAAAATAAGAGAATTGAAAATTCACAGTAGATTTAAAGTAGTTGGGAACAATTGTTCTCAGTAAGTTTATATTTCTATATGATATGCAATTTGGAAAAGTATCTTCTCGATACTAAATCCAATTCTTCTTGGTCGAGTTTTGTTGCTACTCATTGATTTAGTTGGCTCTAATGACCTGTTCTAGCATGTGATAACAACAATAACAACAAAACCCATAGTCAATGTCAAAACCCAAATTTGTCTGCTGAACATCAGGCTGCCAACCAGCTCTGAAGTGAAACAGAAACAATGTGACAAGTTTTGTGTTCTCTAAGATACACAAAATACAAGATTCACATGATTGTTTGTTTCCCACAGGCTCACAGGTTCATCCACTGCAGAGACCACTGAGTGGCATGAGATGTCCATACACTGACCGAAGACCACAGGTTCAGCACAGAAGCTGCTGATCCCCACCCTCCAACATGTCATTAACCCTGAAATTTCTCTCCATGGCCCTGAGGACAAATCTGTATGCCTTTTATGACGTGAAAAATAAAATAATGTCAGTTCATATGGAATGGCAGATATTTTTAATGATAAAAATGGGATTCGAATCATGAAATATTTCATCAAAATGTTTCAAGTCAATTGCACTAGAGAAACCACAACAAGTGGATGGAAAACAAGATCACCAACATGAGAACAAAGATGGTCACAAAAAGCACTTGCTTCAAAGGACATGGGTCAAGTTCATGACAAAACAACAAGTACCCATGTTAGCAGAGTAAGTATCTATAAATTACAAATCCACCAGATTTACTTTGGGAGAATTTATGAAATAAAGGTAATATCCAATGATGTTTCTTTCTCTGTTTTTGTTACAAGTTTACCACTATGCTTAAGAGACCATGTGAGAAGCTCAGTGTCCCTGCGTGGTGCTCACCATATCTGTGACCATGGGCAAAGTGATTCACTCTCCTCATCTCTGTTTCCTCATCTCCAAAATGGGGAATGTAATAATATTTATCCTTGATTGCCATTAATACCACATGAATATATTTGACATTTTACACATTCTGTTTTACATATAATAATAATAGGACGAGTGCAATGGCTCATGCCTGTAATTCTAGCACTTTGGAGGGTGAGGTGGGAGGATTGCTTAAGCCCAGGAGTTCGAGACCAGCCTGGGCAACATAGTGAAACCCTGTTGCTAAAAAAATTTTTTTTAAATAACAAAAGCAGTTGGGCATGCCTGCAGTTCCAGCTACTGGCTGAGGTGGAAGGATCGCTTGAACCCAGGAGTTGGAGGCTGCGGTGAGCCATGATTGTACCACTGCACTCCAGCCTGGGGGACAGAGTGAAATACTGACTCAAAAATAAAAAAAAAAAATAAAATAAATAATAGTAATAATAAGACAATTTATTATTATTATTACAGACAAGGCCCCTGCTTCCATGCAACCAGGTGCTCAATAAATTGAAGTCCATACACTGACTGGAGACCACAGGTTCTATGCCAAGTGCTCTGAGTATGTGATATAACCCTCACCAAGACACCCTTGGGTTGGTGCTCTCAGGACTCCATGGCACATACCACACGTTAATCCCACAGACACTGCCTGTGTGTCTCCCCCTCTCACTGTGAGGCTGAGGATATAACATTTCCATGGCAGACAAGGCCCCTGCTTCCATGCAACTGATCTTCCACTCTACAGACAAAGAGGAAAACACCTGCAAAGTGCTAAGTGCTACCAAGAAAAAAAGGCAGGCGAGGAGATAACACCCGAGGGTTCTCAGGCCAGCACTGAGATGGCCTGTCAAAGGGTGGCATGTGAGGTCTGAATGAAGAACAGGAACTTGTCCTCACAGGGGTTGAAGGAAGAACATTCCTCAGACCCCAGGGAAGACAGAGCTGCCCATCTGCAGAACTGCAAGGCCGCAGGTGTCGCAAGACCGCAGGAAGGCAGGTACAAGACACAGTCAGAGGAGGCCAGAGGCCAGATGGAGGAGGCCTCCGAGCCCAAGGCTGAAGTCTAGATTTTATTCCAAGGGCAAGGAGAAGGCATAAGGGGATTTCCAGCCAAGGAGGAGAAGATAACGTTGTTTTATTAAGCAGCCCTGAGGCTGTGCTGGGTGGGAGTGAGAGCTGCAGTGCTGCTGATACAGGTAGAACAGGAACAGCCAGGAAACTCCTGGGTCATCCAGGCAAGAGATCAGAGCAGGTTGAAAGGTGGCAGGAGTGGAGATGTGGCCAGGTTTGGGAGGTGGCAGGACTCAGGGCAGGACTGACAGGCTTGCCTAGTGCAAAGCGGGTGCGGGGTGATGGGGGAGGCAGTGGGGAAAGAGGTTTGAAGAGGGCTCCCAGGATTTGGCTGAGCAGCCGGAAGGTGCATAGGGATGGGACAGGCGGGATAGTTCACTAAGACAAGGAAGCCCATGGAGGTGCAGATTTGGCTTAATAAAATTAAATGTTCAAGCCAGGAGCGGTGGCTCATAAATGTAATCACAGCACTTTGGGAGGCTGAGGCAGGAGAACTGCTTGAGCCCAGGAGTTCAAGACCAGCCAGCACAACATAAGAAAAGCAACTTGTCCTCTCTACAAAAAATTGAAAAATCAAAAAATTAGCTGCCCATAGTAGCATGCACCTAGAGTCCCAGCTACTTGGGAGACTGAAGTGGAGGGATCACCTGAGCCCAGGAGGTCAAGGCTGCGGTGGCTATGATCATACCACTGCACTCCAGCCTGGGCAACAGAGTGAGACCCAGACTCAAAAAACAAATCAAATGTTCTGTTTTGGACTCAGAATGATTAAGCAACTTGTCCAAGGTCACAAGGTGAACCCATGACAGAGCTGGAGTTCAAATCCAGGCCTGTTCGACTCGAGAGTTCATTTGAAAATGACACTACATGCTGTTACGCCAGCCACACATGGCAGCCTTTCCCTGAAGAAAGGAGACTGTGTGCTGTACCGCTGCTGGACCCCTGACCTGCTCGATGTGGCCCTTCCGCATCTCTAGCACTGCCAGGTTGTTGTAGGCCTCAGTGTGGTTGTTGTTGTTGACCAAAGCCAGTCGGAAGCACTGATGGGCCAGGTTCGTGTCTCCGATGCCCTACAAGAGAGAAGCCCATGCTCACACCCACGGTCCACACCTTCCTCCTGCCATCTCTCACTTCTTTCTTCATCTAAACCTCTCCTGCTGCCATAGAAAAACACAGTTTCAGAAGCCAATGTGAATTCTAAGTGTATTTAATTCCGGAATATGAAGTGAGCTATGATGACCCTAGAAACCTCAAAATTGCCGTGTAAGGCCACAACCAAACCTGAATTTAAGTATCGGAAATGTCCTCAAACTTTCTATGACAGAAATCACGTCAGAAAGACAACATACCACTGCTACATGTCCCAAGTTGTACCAGACGTCGGCTGCCTCCTCTTCGTTTACAGCCAGAGAGAGGGCACGTTCAAACGAGGTCAGAGTCATATCATACTGCTGGGCATAGAAGCAGCACAGCCCCAGGTTGTTAAAAAGCTGACAGTTATAGACACCCATCTGCAGGAGTCGCCTTTCCAAAAAGGAGCACACAAATGTTGGTGTCAGACCAACTTGATAAATGTCAAGACATACATATATTTTTTACAAAGTTAAAAATAAATTCATTTTATGATTTTTAACATTCCTAAGAATACAGACAAAAAGTGTTACAGTAAATGAAAAAATATTTAAAGCAAATACAAAAGCGTGTCTTTTCTAACAATGCTAGCTGGGAGAGTGAGTCCAGTGGCAAGGCCAGAAACAACTGAGTTTTTTTCCTCAAAAGCTGTGTTGGAGAACCAGGGGAGAAAATATACTGTCATATGAGGCAAACCCCACACATGTCAGCTTTGCGGCTCTGGTGCCCACAGGTCTGCTCCTGTGTCCTCCTCATCTCACTCGGGATAAACTTAACATCTCCTCGAAGTTTGCGCTGAGGTTGAGCTGTTGTCACTCCCTGCACCTATGCAAAACCATGCCTCAGGGAGCTTCACCTGAGGAAGACCAGGGCAACAGAGCATCCCCTACCCCTTCCCACACCCTTGTGATCCCCTCAGCCCTCTCCTGTAACCCAAGAGCCCCTGCTGGCTTCCACACATCCCTAATCCCAAGGGACAAAGGACAGGAGGGTTCAGATAAGCAAACGAAAATCCCGCCCAGCTGCCCTGACAAACCCATGACCCACTTTGGGGCAAGAGAGTTGAGTCACTGCCTATGCACCCAGCTGTGTTTGTGTGATTACATTTTATGCCTCCAACAAACATTTGGAAAGAAGCCTTGTCAGCTGCCAGTCATCTCTCTGTCTATTACTTAAGGATTGAAGAAGATACCATAATTTAAAACTACTTTCAGAAACTACAGGTAGGATAAAATAAACACGTATTTAAAAAAGAACCAGTGAACATCATTTATTTATTTTTCTGAGTTGGAGTCTCACTCCGTTACCCAAGCTGGAGTGCAGTGGCACACTCACTGTCATTGCAGCCTCAACCTGCCAGGCTCTGGCGATCCTTCCACCTCAGCTCCCAAGTAGCTGGGACTATGGATGTGCAACATCACATTCAGCTAATTTTTTAATATATTGTAGAGATGAGGTCTCACCATGCTGCCCAGGCTGGTCTCAAACCCCTGGGTTCTACGAACTGAATGTGAGGCACACCTGTAAAAGCGGAGCGCGATTTCTGGCTGGTCGGAATAAAAGTGGTTGCTTCCGATGCATGCAATGGCCTCCACGTGCGTGCTGTCCTGCTTCAAAACTTCTTTGTAGTATTCGGCTGCTGACGAACTATTGTTCATTTCCTGTTCTCCAGCAAGACACACAAGCAATACTTTATTAATGCTGGACAAGACATTAATTAATTTTTTCCAAAAAAAATTAAATGAGGGACATATCAAAATAAGGAAGAGAAAGGTTAACAGTTCAGGTAAGAAATGATGGCCACCCAGACTAAGTTCAGAAATACATACAAAACTAACAATGAAAGAACGCTTCTACAGTTATTACCCTTTCCCAAACACTAACATTCGTAAATAAGTGCATCTAATGTATTCTACGAATGTCGCATTTCCCAAGGCCACGTTCAAGGTCCAAGGCAGGTCCATTCCTTATGAAGATTTCCCAGGCACCTTCCCCTCACAAAGCTCTCTTCTGCCTCTCAACTCACATGATATTAATTACGTGATCTATTCGCCTGCTCTTATCATGTGAGGACTCATGGTTTTGTTCGATTTTAATCACATTTCATCATAGTAAGAGATTAATTGTAAGAAGAACTGCACGATGTTTTTTTAAACACAGAATTTTTGATATTTACTGATAGACTTATTTAGACACAGACTATATCACAGATCACTCTTTTGCATACTTTATATGAAGTACACATACATAAGCAAAATAGATTTAAAGCAAATTACAGGAAAGCCGTATTCTTTCATGTGAAGGGTCAAATTCTTCTGACTCCCTTTGTGACTTGGTCACCTATGGCCAGTGTTTCCACACAGTGTTGTTCCATGCACTAGTGATATGGCAGCTTATCACTGACAACTAATCACAATACATACTTATGGGGTGCAATGCAATGCCTTGACACAGGTACACCTTGTGGAATGCGCCTAATTAACACATGCATCACCTCACATACTTACCATTGTGGTGAGAACATTTAAAAGTCACTCTGAGTATTTCTTTTTTTTTTTTGAGTTGGAGTCTCATTCTATCACCCAGACTGGAGTGCAGGGGTATGCTCATGGCCACCGTGGCCTAGACCTGCTGGGCTCTGGTGATCCTTCCTCCTTAGCCTTCCAAGTAACCGGAACTACAGGTGTACACGCTACAGCTAATTTTTGATTTATTGTAGAGATGAGGTCTCACCAAGTTGCCCAGGCTGGTCTCGAACCCGCGGGTTCAGGCAATCCACACGCCTCGGCCTCCCAAAGTCCTAGGAGTATAGACTGAGCCACTGAGCCCAGCCCACCCTGAGCACTTCTTAAGAGCATGCTCTACTATTGTCTCCAGAATATTCTCCCAAGCCACCAGCACTTATTCTGCCATGCTGACGCCTGTGATTTCTTGATCTCACCAGCAGGTGTCAACAAGAGCCTTCAGGCAATGATTATTAAGCATTACCAAGTTTATCATGCTACCAGGAAGAAATATCCAGTTGCCATGTAAGTAAACCATGACAACTGCCATTTGGCCAGAAAGATCAAAAGATGCTATCCATTGTAAGATACACCCCAACTTCAGAGATGTTTTTATTTTTATTTTTTGAGTCGGAGTCTCACTCTATTGTCCAGGCTGGAGTGCAGTGGCACACTCATGGCCACCCCAGCATTGGCCCACTGGGCTCTGGTGATCCTTCCACCTCAGCCTTCCAAGTAGCTGGAACTACAGGCACGTGCTATCACACCTGGCCAATTTGTTGATTTATTGTATAGACGAGGTCTCACCAAGTTGCCTGGGCTGGTCTTGAACCTGTGGGTTCAGGCAATCCACTCACCTCGGCCTCCCAAAGTGCTGGGATTACAGGTTAAACTACTGAGCCCAGCCTCAGAGATGTTAAAATGCAAAACAAACAAAAAAAATTGTTTTTAGACTCCCTGAAATATGGTAAGTCAAGTTCCTTTTAGAGCAAGGTAATGGATGTACCTTAGCACAAAATTTAGTGCTTCTGAATCCTGAAAAATTAATTTAAAAAAAATCAAACAACTTTCAAAAATATCCTTAACTTTTATTTCCATTAAAACAGGTGCTCAAATTTTTTGGTCTCAAGATCTCTCTAACTTAAAAGTCAGACCTGAAACCATAAAAATCCTAGAAGAAAACCTGTGAAAATTCTTTTGGAACCTGGTCTAGTAAAATAATTTACGGCTAAGACCCCAAAAGTAAATGCAACAAAAACAAAAATAAATAAGTGGGACTTTATTAAGCTAAAAAGCTTCTGCACAGCAAAAGAAATAACAGAGCAAATAGGCAACCTACAGAATGAGAGAAGATATTCACAAATCGACCAAGGACTACTATCCAGAATCTACAGGGAACTCAAATCAGCAAGAAAATAACAACCCTGGCCGGGCCTGGTGGCTCAGCCTGTAATCCCAGCACTTTGGGAGGCCGAAGTGAGTGGATTGCCTGAGCCCGCAGGTTCGAGACACGCCCAGGCAACTTGGCAAGACCTCATCTCTACAATAAATCAAAAATTAGTGTGGTAGCGTGTGCCTATAGTTCCAGGTACTTGGAAGGCTGAGGCGGAAGGATCGCCGGAGCCCAGCAGGTCGAGGCTATGGGGGCTGGCAGCGTGCCACTGCACTCCAGTCTGGGCAATGGAGTGAGACTCCAACTGAAAAAAAAAGAAAAGAAAAGAAAAGAAAATAACAACCCTATTAAAAAAATGGGCAAATGGCATGAAAAGACATTTCTCCAAAGAAGACATACAAATGGCCAAACAAACATACGAAAAAATGTTCAACATCACTCATCATCAGAAAAATGCAAATTAAAACCACGAGATACCACCTTACACCAGTCAGAATGGCCATTACTAAAAAATCAAATAGCAGTAGATGTTGGTGTGGCTACAGTGAAAAGTGGACACTTATACACTGTTGATCGAAGTGTAAATTAGTACAACCTCTGTCGAATTCAGTATGGAGATTTCTCAAAGAACTAAAAGTAGATCTACCATTTGATCCAGCAATCCCACTACTAGGTATCTATCCAAAGGAACAGAGGTCATTATACAAAAAATATATGTTAATTACGGCACAATTCACAATTGCAAAGATGTGGAATCAACCTACATGCCCATCAACTGATCAGTGGATAATTAAAATGTGTTATACATATAACACAGAATACTATTTAGCCAAAAAAAAGAACGGAATAATGTCTTTTGCAGCTACCTGGATGGAGAATTGGAGATCATCATCCTAAGTGAAGAAATGCAGGAATAGAAAACCAAATGCTGCATGTTCTCACTCATAAGTGGGAGCTAAGCTAAGGGTCTGCAAAGGCACAGAGAATGGTATGATGTATGTTGGAGATTCAGAGGGGGTGGTTGGGAAGTAGGGGAACATTGAAAAATCTCCTGTTGGGCACAATGTGCACAGGTGGGGTGACAGGCACACTTAAAACCCAGACTTCACACTATACAATGCATCCATGTAACCATTTGGATCCCTAAAGCTACTGAAATAAAATTAAAAAAAATTTAAATCCCTTTAAACTCTTAAAAATTGCTATGAATCCCAAAGAAGTATTGGTTACATCGATTAACATTAGAAATGAAACTGATATATTTTTAAATATTTATTAATTCATTCTAAATAGCACATAATAAGCCAATTACAAATTAACATAAACAACATATTTTTATGAAAACTAACAGGCTCTCCCAAATGGAGAAGGTCTGTAGCTTGTACCACCACGTCTGTGACAGGGTAGATTAGTCTAACTCGGAGACAGAAGGCTGATAAGTCCTTTTGGGCACAGACCTCAAGCCACATGCTCCAATTCAGCTTTTATCCATAATAAAGTTAATGACTTGACCTCTATTTATCTCACTCTTACATCTATCTCTCAGTTGCTTGAGGTGTTACTTCTCAATCTTGTAAAGCCTTAATGAGACATTCACCAGTTGTTCCAAATCCATTGCTTTATATATATATATATATATATCTTATGTGCTTTATATTTGCAATTCTTATTCAAAAGCATCAGTATCCCACAGTGCAAGGTGGCAATGCCAATGCAAAGGCGACTCAAGTTTTAGGTTCTGTAAAATCACCTTAGGATACTCGTGTACTTGATTAATGGGCACAGAAATTAAGGTATGCAGTCTCAAGGAATTTTGGACTCAAACACTTATTTTGTAAATAACCTCATATGCAGTTTTCCAATTAAGTTTTGTAAACTTATGAAATGTAAGTTCATGAGCGACCCCATCAGGTCTCCTCCCACTCTGGGAGGTTTTCTATCCTCTCAATAAATCCTGCTTTTAAAAAAAGAATACGCTCATGCTTAAATAAACTTAAACCCTACAAAATTAAAGAGGCTTTGTTAATAATTTCTTGAGTATTGTTCAAGAAATCTTGATTGTATAGAAGCACACATATAGGTATGCATGTTTTAACCATAAATAGAATCTATCCATTCCAACGTGCAGTTTATTTTTTTCACTCAGTATCTTGATTCTTTCCATATCAAAACAAAAAGCTTCTCTTTTTTTTAAATTTTACAGTGTTCCATCAATATATAGACCATAATTTACTTAACCAGTCTCTTTTTGATGATTCATCAGTTTCCCTTTTTTTAAGCCATAAAATATACTATAAAACTATCTTAGTAAATATCTTTGTGCATGTGGATGAAAACATGCATAAGGAAAATTCCTAGAAGTGGAACTGCCAGGTCAAGGAACATGCACATTTTAAAATCCCATCCTAACTGCAGGCAGCCTCAAAACAGCTGTAGTTATGCACTCCCACCAACAAGGTCTTATGCAGAGTCCACACTTCTCCACACCCTCGACAACCCAGATGCCACGGCACCTCTTCATCTTTGCCAATCTGATTAACCAAAAGATGGTACATCACTGCTGTTTTCAGCATTTATTGAATTATGACAGGTTAGGCTCTGCACACATCTGGTACCTACAGCTCCCCTTCTGAGCAGCCACCTCATGCCCTTTGTCAGTTTTTCTGCCCTATCCTAGCTTTTGTCTTTTGATTACTGGTTTGGGTATATGAAGAGCTTGGGTGGGAAACTGCCCTCCTGAACCCAGGACAGCTGGAGGCAGAGC